TAATAATAATAATAATAATAATAATAATAATAATAATAATAATAATAATAATAATAATAATAATAATAATTAATAATAATAATAATCATAATAATAATACAATAACACAATAACAACAATAATAATGATAATGATAATAATGATAATAATGATAGCAATAATTGGTAATGATAATAATATAATCAATTAATTAATAAATTAATTAATTAACTAACTAATTAATTAATTAATATAATTAATAATAATAAAAATAATAATAACTTATTACACTATTACCAATTATACTATTTTCAATTATACCAAATATTATTAATAAGTACCTCTCTTTCTTTATCACTACCAGATACATTGATCAAAGCTTCTAAAGTCTTTTTAAAGTCAAATTTGGTTGCAAAAAAATCACCTTCTAAAGGTGCAATAAAATTAGGTATCGAAGGATAAATAGCAAAATGTCGTTCCTGCTGCATCCGTTGAAGAATATTTTCAGGGCATGGTTTTATAAAATCTAAAATATCATATTGAATATTGACTAATGGAAAATATGTAGATGTGGCTTATATTTATATAATAAAATAATTAGCAACTATAGGATATAATTCTTAAGCTACTAACATGATATATCTTACATTTTTTATGTTCTGTGTTTGTAGGGTCAACAGGTGTTGGAGGTGAAAAACATAAACCAAGCTTTATCAATACGGGATAATGAAGAAATCGTAAATTTATTTCGATATCTCGTTCCCTGCACCAAAATCTTATGAGAAAAGTTATGATCAACATTTATTAAAAAGAGTTCATTAGCAATCTTACCAAACCGTTATCATATCTACTAAGGAAACAGAATAAGACATAACCAATGACGAGTCCGTTTGTTTTGAATAATCACAGTGATTCATCATATTAATCATGACTGAATCGTAAATAATTAAGGAAATAATAATTTCAATATTAATTGTGGTGACTGTTGAAAATTTGCCCTAATTTTTTGATTTTAAATTTAAAAAATTTTTAGGACATCTTTTTGTGGTTAGGTTGGAGTTCATAGGAAAATGGATTTAGAAGTATTATAGATTTTTAAAAAGAGCACAAATTTTTCAACGTCAACCAATTTCACACATTAATCATCGAACAATGCAAGAATAATATGTAATTAAAAGGATACGTGACCACATATGAGTCCAATTGATCCCTATTAAACTAGTCAATCGTACTTTTATAAACGTACGATTAATTACACTACCATTGAGCGAAGTTGACATAGCAGCTGGATAGCATTCAACTTTCAAAGGAGGATTGTTATCTGTTGCTTTATCACGTTTTTTATAAAGACGCTGAAGTTCAGGAATCACCAGATTTCGCGCAGCGATTGCTGAATTCAACAACTTTACAATTAACAAGAAACATGTTTAAATCATGGGTGAATATAAACGAATTTGTGTCATTCATAACTATACCTGATTTGTTTTTTCCAAAGTCGTTTGTTTAGCAGTTAACTCTGCAATATTGCTGAGCTGATTTTTGATTTTTTCTTTTAACTCTTCGTTGCTCATCATAAATGTTGGTTTGTCTTCACTAAACATAAAATAATAAAGGTTCTTTCAAGATTATAAGTACCGAATCAATACAACAATAAATTAAAGATTTGAAATAATTAACAACAAAAGGATAAAAAACCTTGTAGTTTTAAAACTCGAACGAATCAATCGACCATCATTAGATAATGCATACAAGATTCCATCACTGGAATCTTGACCAACAATGCAATGATAAGACAATGTAACAATTCCTTTAGGAAAGTATATAGGGATTGTATGTAGTGAAACGAGTTTTCCTAAAGAAAGTAAATTAATTTTGCAAGTCCTCCATTTCAAAAATTTAAGTGTATAAAAAAATATACCTTCTGAGAACATGTCTCTGTCAAAGTTTATGACAACAATATTTCCATCTTCAACTGCTACTATTAAACGGTTCTGTGAAATAATAACTTTGTTGTTAAATTATTTGGTTTTTGTGTATAGAAATAAGTTATATTTGTGAATGGTGAAAGATAAATGAAATACCCTAAATGCAAAAGATGAATGCACTGGTGCAGGAACATGATATTCTTTATAAGCGATAGATTTCACATTAGAATCATCATTTTTCTTGGGTGCCATACACATTAAAGCAATAGTGCCTTCAGAACTGTATGAATAAAATTGTTATCATTTAATGCTAAAATATTTCTCAAGTAGAAATACTTACCCAACAAAAAGAAATGCATTGTCAACTTTTTTTTCAATAAGTGGCCTTAAAAGAAATAACTCCGATTCATCGGTGACTACCCGTTTTATTGAAAGTGTATATATAGCTTGAATGGATTCCTAAAAATTGTTAAACTTGATTACAAATCATAACATTTAAAGTTTTAAACCAATCTGTTAAAACTTAAGACTCACATTTAACGCGGTAATTGCACAAGGAGGTGGTGCATCAAGAATTAAAGGTTGAAACAAAACAAGACCGTTCGAATATCCTGTCAATAATATTTCCTCCTGAAACCTATAATAATATGAGGAAGGAAATACTTCATTTAAATATATAAATTTAACATAGAATACAACAAAGTTTTTCTTTATCATTTATTACTTTTGCGAACTATTAAAAGCCACCATCGCCAAATCATCAGAGATTTGCGTTACGAAATTCGAAGAATTTGTGTTCGCTGAATTCTCATAAGCTTTATCATCAGATGACCTGAGTAATTATATAATGTGTTAAGAAATGGTTTGTCATATATTAATGAGTATAAATGCTATGAAACGGACATTCTTATAAAGGATATTTATTAAATGACATGTAATCTTGGGACCTGAAAGATCGCCTTCAGCACTTTGTGCATCATGGCGAAATAAGACTTGGTTTGAAGGAATTCGATTCACCAATGAAAGAAATCCAATTTCACCATCTTCAGATATCATTAGCATACCATTGCGATTAAAAAGGTTGTGCGGTCGCAATGCACAAATGTGAGACTAATGTTTAAGTTAAAAATATTATTAAAAAAACATATAAGAACTAATCACGGAAAACACATTATATAAAGATACCTGCTGCAAGATTTTATGAACGTCCGTAACAGTGATCAATGTGGGTGGTGGAAAAACTGAATTGTATTCAGCAACCGTCGATGCCGAAATATTGCGCGTTGATTCGAATGTTGCAACTTGTGGTAGTGATTTATTATTTGCATCACTAATTTTTCTAATCTGGCGTAATGGTGATGGATCTTGACTATCGACATCAATATTTCTAAATAGAACCGGTAAAACAATTAACATGGTATAAATAAATTCGCAAACCGCATAATGATAAAAACCTTTTTTGTCGTTGAGCTAATGGTATACGCCAAATGGAGCCGTCTGCAGTTAAAACAAGAAAGGAAACAGCTAAACTACTAGTTGCCTCTGAAGACTTATACAATCCATCCTGTGATATTTCAATCGGATCAGCTGGAAAACGCCAAATTTCTCTTAACGTTTCCTTGAAAAATACGTGAATTCGTTGTGGAAGCACTTTAATGGCCAACCAGTCTTGTACCGCAACACATTTGGCGATTGGTTTACCAATCGGCCGTGGAAGATGATAGGATTGTAAGATACGAACATCCATCTTAATGCAATGGTCGACCAGAAAAGGTAAGAATTGTAAATTCAAATTGATAGATCTTATATAAGATAGCAATAGTGATTTAAAAGTAATTTTGTGATGGTTGCATATTTGTCCTACATTGAAATAAATCTCATTATGACGAAAGTTTCTTAAAATAAAGTCGCATGTATTGTTTATAAGTTAGTATAATAATTTGTGTATGAAGCTTATTTTGACCGATTTACAGCCACCATGGTTATAACGAATCATCTTATAATGAACTCGCTTTATAATGAATTACTTTTAAAAAAATACATCAATATAGAAATTTGATTCATGATAGAAATTATGAAAATTTTAATTAGTGGTTTTTTAATTCGAGACCGAAGATAAACCAAAATAATTCTTCTGAAATTCTCAATAATTTCACGACTTTGGTGGTATAGCAGACTATATTTTCTATATATATATATATATATTAATAGTATGCCTTAGTTATATCTCTATATAAGTCTATAGTAAAAAAAAAATTAGAGCAATATATCTGTCATATAAGAGAGTTATTAATCACCACCTTCGAACAGTGAATTCTAAAGAAGATTTAAAAGACAATTAATTCTAACTCTTTTAATTATAAAATATGTATCAAAACTTATACTATAGAAGAAAATATTAATGAGAAAAAATGGGAATATCAGATATAAACTATAACAAATAACATAGAATTAGTTAAAGAATTTAAACTATTCTGTTAAAAATACTTTAAAGATATAGTATAATTAGCAGATATACCAAACAGAAAAGTATATAACATATAATCACCCAGATACACCAATTACAAAGTTGTATTAACTTGAAAATAAAAAATATAAAAAAATATATTGATAATAAGTAAAAAAATATAATATAAATTTAGTTAAAATCCAATATACAAGTAACTCTTAATATAAAAAAGTTATTATAAATATTGGCTTTTTTATTATTAAGTAAGTTTTTTTACTTATCTTCTATTAATACACTGGCAATCATAAATAATGCAATACGTGATAATTTTTATAATAAAAATTTTTTTATTATAGAGTGAAAATTTTAATAATTACTATGTTTTATAAAAATTATTACGTGCTGCATTATTTATAATTGCTAGTGTATTACAAGTTATTACTTTAAATTAGGTTTTGTTGCTACTGCTAATTAGCATTTTTATAATTTTTTTCTTCAAGTATTTTTTTATAATGTTTATTATAACAAATTAAAATAAAATTGTATTAAAACAAAATAAAAAACAATGTAAATTAGAAATTTTGATTTTTTGTAAATAATATTATAATGTTTTGGTCAAACTGAATTCTAAAAGACCAAAAAAAAAACAATAAATACAATAAAAAATAAAATAAATAATAATATAATTGTTTATTATTTATTATATATTTATATTTATTTATTTTATTTTTTTATTTTAATAACATCAAAGTAAAACTTTATTACATATATATAAAAACAAAAAGTTTTAAAATAAAGATTTTTAATCATATTTCTATTACAAAAAAGCATCCAATATAACATTACATTTTTTATTTTCTATAAATATTATTTGCTAAAAGTTTGAACCAGTTTTAAAATTTTGAGTTTATCATATAAAAATTTGAGTTTATTATATTAAAATTCAAGTTTATTATATAAATCATTAATGATTAATGTGATAAACTCAAATTTTAGCATAATAAATTTGAATTTTTATGTAATAAACTTTAATTTTTAAAACTAAGTTCAACTTCTACTATTTGCTAATTATTCAAATTAGATTTAATTTAAAATAGAATAAAAAAATCTAAAATATTTAATATTAATATTAAAAAAAACATATAATTAGTAAAAAACAATATAGAAATTATTATTTTTTTTAATTATAAGCAGTTATACTAGTACTTTATTAAGTTTTTGATATTACATTTGTAACTATATACATATCTCTAATATCTAAGTCTAGCATTACATGGCTATCTTAATAGTACTTAAGTGCAACTTGACACATTACTTCAAACAAAAGTAAGCTACTTGTCTGACTATTTAAAGTCCATAATAAAAGGATCTTTTTTCTTCTATGACAAGTCTCAAAATTATCTTTGTTACTTCTTTCTCAACTTGTTTTCCTTTTTCTTTTATTTTTTATTTTTTTTTTTCTATTTTTTCTTAATCTACCTTTTTCTGTTTTTCTGGTTTCTTTAAACTTTCATCTTTTTTTCTTTTACTTCTTCTTATTATTCCAACTTTTTTCTCTTATTTGATAATATTCTCACAATGTATTCTTCATATTTGTTCATAGAATGTATCTTAGGCTGTTATTGCTACTGTATTTGCAAACTGCTATCTTGATCTTGTATTTAATAGCTTTGCTAGTTTGTTTTGTGTTTTTTTTAAAATTAGACCTTTTATTAGTGCTTCTTTTATTTTGACTTTCTTTATTTCTGTTTTCTTAAAGAGCATTATATATAAAATGTGTAAAAGAATCTGAATCTTTTCTTCTTCTTTTAATTTCTTTCATGCTATTGCAATAGTCACTTTTTGGATTCTCTTTTAGAGATTTCTTTGCCTCTTACATACTGCCAAGTGTGTTTGTATCTCTTTTACTTTATCTTGGCATACTTGGCATACTTGGCATTCTACTGTTGTATATATATCTGATTTTCTTCTGTTGAGTTCTTCTAAAGTTGGAAGTTTATTTATTATAAACTTAATAAATACACTTCTTCTGGCACTGCTTTTTTTTGTTATGCAATATATTCTCTTGGTTATTTTAAGCTTTTTAAAAAAATAAATCTAATCATAAATTGTGATTTCTGTTTTTGGTTCTAAATCTTTAATTGCTCTTGTTTCTTTCTACTTTATTTCTAGTTTTGTGTTTATTACTAACTTGTAAAACAGTCTTGCTAATATATCAATTTGTTTGTTTTCCTACTCTAAACAATACTTTATCTCTTTACAACTGACTTTTTCAGTCTATATTATTTCTCTATTTATTGTTCTCTTTTTTGCTAAACTATCTGTTATATTATTTCATTTGTCTTTACTATGACTTTTAACTTTAACTAAATCTATCTAAATGTTTTTCATCTTGATAAAATCTTTAATCTTCATTAACCATATTGTATTCTTTTTCTTAATAATCTTGTTTCTGTCTGCTTGTTCTAGACTTCTACCAATATTTCTTATTGCAACATTACTATTTGTATATAATTTTATTTGCTTTTTCTTAGATATTGTTAGAATTGCTGCCCAAATTGCTACCAATTTTGCTGTTGTTGACATTTATCATCTTTCTAGTCCAAATGCTAACTCTTCTTTTGGCCATTCTTGTGTTTTGTTTGTTTGGACCTATCCAATACCTATATTGTTCTTAGACAATGATTCTTTACTATCTTTCTTATTAGCTGCACTGTTAGTATATATTATATATTTATTTTTATTTCTCATAATGTTTCTTTTTAGAACTTTTATTATTTCTTAACTAATATTTTCTTTTAGTTTTTGTTACTTAATAATTTCTACCTCTAGTTTTTCTATTATCATAAGACTCTTTAATTTGCTTTCACTTATTTTTGATCTATCTATTTCTGTCTTATCTATTATTTAGTCTATCATTATCTTAATTTGATTGCTATACTTACTTATTAATCTATTTGGAATTATATAAATGTTTTTATTTAATCTTATCTATTGCTAGCAACTGTTTTCTATTTATTCTTCTTTATTTATATATCTTTCACATCTATTGATTTCAGTTACAACTTCATTCTCTTTGTACTTTATTTGTCAATATTTGATTAGTACTTTTTTTTTTTTTTTTAACTATCTTTTCAAGCTGTCTGTGGTCTTGTATGCTATATACTATACACTTTTTTTTTTTTTTTTCTGATATATGTCCTTATTTGATTTGCATTGCCTGAGTATTTTGTTTACCTATTCTGAAATATCTTTATACTACTTTATTCTTTAGACTGCTTAGCACTTTTGATTTAATTGCTTTGAACCTTTCTGCTTTTTTCTCTTTACTTGATTGGCCTTAATAGCCTTTTAGTTGCTACTATATGATTAGTTTTTCATTTTTTGTATTGAGTAGTTGGTTCAGATATATTAAATCAGCTTTGTTTACTCTAACTGCCTTTTTTTTCTACAATTATGTATCTATCAGTTCCTGTATTTTAGTATTATAACCAAACATTATCCATAGTTCACTTTTTGTTTTAATGTTTATTTTTAGTTTCTTTGCTTTGAGTATTGTAAAACATGCTAAGTTGTTCTTTAAGTATGTTTTGATTTCTGTTTGCTTCTTTAACTTCTATATATCTTCTGTTAAATCTGCTCTTTGACAGTCTTGTGTTATTTTTAGTCTTGTTAGCTGTCCAAGACTGTCTTATCTGTTCAGTCTTACCAAAAGGCCACTCATTTGCTTCATAATTAACTCTTGTTGCAATGTTCTACAGCTGTCAAGATCTTTGTGTTCTATTACACAGTTTTCTATTGTTCTTTGCAGGCTGCTTTTTTGTTTTGTCAGACTTATTATTAGTTGATATATTTCATTTAAGCTTCTGTTCAACAACTTTGTTAGCTGCAACATATAGCTTAGTTTGGATATTATTACCATATTGTTTATATATGCAATCTGACTTATTGTTATTTTTTTTGTATTTTAGATCTCTTATAGTTTGGTTTATTATTCTTTTTGTCTTCTTCTTTACTTGTATTTTTTACATTCTGTTGTTTAACTATATTTCCAATGAATAAACTATTTTATGTCTTGGTTCTTCTATTATCTTACTTTTCTCATATATTATTACTCTTTCTTCTTTTTAGACTTTTATGTTCATTATTATTAATTTTGACTTTGATCCATTTATCTCTATATTATTTATTTCAAAAAACTCTTCTGCTATTTCTAAGATTTCTAACAATTGCTTTTTATTGCTTGTGATCCATGTTGTATTATCTATATATACAATTGCAACTTGACAACATCTTGT